AGTAACAAGACGTGTTTACCAAAATTTTCTTTCCTCGGAAAGAATTGGGAGGGCACCATTTGGGAGAGAATAAACAATCCATTAGCGGCAAGGAGAACTTGAAAGAAAGGCCATTGTGTAAGGGGGCATAAAATACGATGATAAATCGTGGTGTAAGAGTCCAAAGGGCAAAGACGGACGGGGCTGACTGGATGGCTTCTATTTTAAAAACAAATATTTTGGCCCGCGCACCCCGAACTGGGTCACAGAACGTGTGGTTGTGAAAGGGCGCGGCATGTATTTTTTACCCGTAATTTTGTTGATCAGAGCCATTAATAAATGTCACTCGCGAAAAAACTTTGTTAAAAGGTATTACATTTTTGATCCTCCGTGGCGGCGATGTTTGTGTTTTGCTACCCTTACTTTGAGTGAAAATTGAATGACATCCAAAGTTTTTCCAATTTAAAGGTAAAAAGCTCGCGCAACAACGGGTAGCGTGACCATTTGACATCGGTATTCGAATTTTTCGGAAACACATTCACGGGCGTTTGTCAAAACTTTTTCGACGACGCCGTTAACTGTAAAACGGCAACTCCCGAAAACTCTTCGACCCCATGCAGCGATGGATGAAAAAGAAAAGAAAAAAGCAGCGGTAATCTGCCGGTTTCTCCGGCCACTACGCTTTCGCAAACTGATACGTAACATCCAAGGGAAGCTCGAGGGTGGGGGATGAGCCGGTGGTAAAGGGCCAATTTTTTCCTCGAGCGTTCTCTCACCTCGATTCTTAATTAACGCTGTAGTGCGGGAAATTTCGCTGAAAGGCTCGTCCTATCGTATTAATGAGCCTCGTATTTCGATGCTTATGCATCGCTACAAACTAGACGGGTATACCTTGGATCGTTGAAGCGGAAAATGAGCCTCGCCTTTGCGTTAAAGACTTCTTTGATCGATAACCATCTCAAAAAATGTTAACCGCCCAATACAATGGTGATGGACATACCACTTGTAATCATTGTCATGCCTTTTCGTTATCCACTCCAAAGACGAGGAAAAGTGTGGTATATATATTCTCGTGGCAATCGAAATTAGTGTAACTTGAAGAACGGACTCGAGCCGCAGGCTCTTCGGGAACAATGCAAGTGTATACATACTCACGAGGCCCGGCAAATTTTCCATTTTCGAAAACAAAGTGCCTCCCCCACCCCTCCCAAATCTCAAAGCGGCCAGCGCTTAATTTCCATCGAGCCGTGCTGCCCCACTTTTCCGAGGGTGGCCAGTCACTCCTCTATACCTTTTTCCTCCTTCTTCTTCTCGAGCGCCTTTGTTTCGCCTGAATTACTTCACCTCTCTCTCTCTCGTGTGTATATGTATACAGGCGTACGTGCATCGCGGCAATGGGCGCAGAGGGAAAAACGGCGGAGCGAAGAAAAACGGGCAATCGAGGGCCTCTCTTCTTCCGCTCCCGTTGTTCGGCCCCTTTTTTTATTTTATTTACCGACTCGACCTCTCGCGCAATTAAGGAAGAGTAGATGAGAAACTTCTTCTTCTTCTTCATCCTCTACTTTTGATCGATTGGCGCGTGTTTCGCGTGTGCCGTTAAAAAAAACTTTGAGTGCCTTGTTTTTTCTTTCTGAAAATTACAAAAAACGTTGCTCTCTCTCTTTTTTTTTACCTGTAATTGCTCGGTAACGGCATGTTATTACACCATATAGTGGTGCTCGGGCGTGGTTTTTAAAATACCCCGGGAAGAAAGGAGTTTTTAAGTACAAGGTAAAGGGTGAAGGAAAAAAAAAAAAAAAAAAAAAAAGAAAGAAAATTAGAGGCAAAAAAGTGAGAAAACGCGCTCGGGCTTTGTAACAAGTGCCGCTGGAGTACAACGCAAACGAGTCGCGGATAAGAGCAAAGGGCCAAAGGAACGGTGGCGGGGTCTGTAAGGCTTCGATGGTTCCACGCAAAGTCAAGCTAAATTAAAATCCGGCCTCTGATGTTTATAATGTTATTACAATAGTACTAGGTATTTATATACTTTATTTGAGGTGATTATCGTGTTACGGTGCTCTTTAAATAATTACTTTTCAGTTTATTATTCGTTACGAAGAGTTTCAGCATTTATATATAAATATCAATAATAAACATTAACCCTTTTTTACCTGCTTTTTCGTATCAAATACAAAAGTTAACATCGTGCAACAAACTTTGGATTGATGCGAAACAATGAATTTATATTTTATCCCGCATTTTCATTTGAATGGCCAATAGTAACAATTCGCAGAGGTAAAAGAGTACAAATATGGATGTAGCGATGACCATCAAATGGTAAAGATTCCGTTCTCATTGTCATTAAAAAAAAAAATAAGCTGCAATAAAACCTTGGACGACACGAGCATCAAAAGTGTGAGTCGAGCGCTAATTTGTACATCCAACCGGGAAGAAAAATGCGAATCGACGGAGCGTGAAACCATGGCCTTGAATAAATTACCGAAGCGCGACGCGGGAAATCCTTGCGGGTAGGCAGCGTTAAATCGCGATCAAGCATAATAATGAAGAAATATAAATTCCCCCCCTTCCGTCCTCGGGCTTAGCCCGGCTCACCAGGCGCCGGCTTATCGATTGCGTCCCGGCAACTAATTAGAGATGATTAATCACTAAAACACCGTTCCAGCGCGTTGGAATGATTTTTCCCCTCCCTCGGAGCTTTGTACGATTAAGAATAACAAGCGCATTTATCGATTAAGCTTGTGGGACGATGTGAAATATATATATATTTTTTTTTTTTGTTTCCTGACAAGTGTCTGCCTGACATTGTTGTGTACATCTACAGATTAAATTTTGTGAGCTTAGAAATTTTAAACGATCGGAATGAGCATCGTTACAGCAAAAGACAGAGAGAACGAGCCCCAATAGGACCCTCGAGGCCAAATGCTTATTTGTACACGGCAGAGCAAAGGAGAGCCTTTCAAAGAGCCAGCGCTAATTACCGGCAGCGGTGGCAGCTATAGGTATGTATGTACACACAGGGCGGCAGGTATTGTTAATTACACCGTAGACGACGAGTGGCTTATTAATCCTTTTACGGCTGAACGTCGAGCAATACTTACATAATACACGTGTATGGAGTGGCTGGCAGTGTCTGTACACGTGTATTTATCGGGTTAAAAGATTCAACGCTCGTGTAAAATGTACGGCATAGTGTTTAGTTGTTTGGTGCATGTACGGCCCCGGGGATGGGTTTAAAGCTGCTGAGGGTGCAGTTGGACTTGTCAGGCGATGCATTTTTCTCTCCTCTTTTGTTTCAGTCGCTAAATTTTAGAGGTGTTTTTTACGGGTGTACGTGAGTTGCTTAAAAAGTTTTTTTTTTTTTTTTTTTTTATACCNTCAAGGCATGCAAATAATTATGAATATCTCCCTTTATAGGTACCCTCGGGTCACAAAAATTTAGATTTCTTATTTTTATGCATTAATCTACCATCCTGCAAAATATCATAATTTTCTATCCTATATTTCAATTTGCTGTACAACTACCTTAAGCAATGTGCCTATACAGTTTTATTGGTGCCGCAGCGCGAATCGTCGTTAGATTTTGCTGTCCCAGGGAGTTTCGACTAACGAATGTCGTCTGTAAAGAAATTTTTTAAGTGTAATAACACAAAAGGTAAAAGAGAGTATTGTATAAGGAAATGTGATTATTTCGTTGACGATAACTTCAATAATTATATCGTTTGTTGAACATGTCGTTCTGCTCTCAGTTGTTTTCATGATGACTTGAGGGTCAGTGCCTAAGCACACGATCAGTAAAAGCTAATTTTGAGAGTACGAATGAGAACTCCAAAAAACCAGGTGTTAGTTTGAGCAACGTTTCGTTGGTCTTAACGCCAACCTCATCAGGCTTAGAGAGAATAAAGATATGTTTACTCGTTCAGATAAAGGAAATGTAACGGTTTGCCTTGACAAAAACGTATACGTACAGAACATGGAGGCGATGTTAAACGATAAAACCACATTATACCTAATACCTAATGGTAAATAAGAATCCATTAAATAGTTTACAATCAGAAGTTCATAANTGACAAAAACGTATACGTACAGAACATGGAGGCGATGTTAAACGATAAAACCACATTATACCTAATACCTAATGGTAAATAAGAATCCATTAAATAGTTTACAATCAGAAGTTCATAAAATTTTAACGAAACTGAACAAATACAAATTTATCTAGATGTTATGGGTTGCCAAAAATACATAAACCTTCTCTTTCATTTAGACCTATTATTTCATCAATTAATTCTCCTACACACACACTCGCCTCAACCCTCTATGATTCTCTGTCAAAAGTTTTTGAAAAACCTTCTTCACATTTAAATAATAGCGTTGAACTTATAAAACAAATTAGAAATCTTAAAATAGCAGAAAATTATATTTTTATTTCTTTAGACGTTATTTCTCTGTTTACCAACAGAATCAGTCATAAATAGTTTGGAAAAAAGATACATGCAAATCCACAGATTATCGAAAATTTCCTATCAAGAAATCATAGAATGTACAAAATTTTTATTCAACAATGTTTACTTCACTTTTAATAAAAAATTTTATAAACAGATTTTTGGCAGCCCAATGGGTTCTCCTGTCTCTCCACTATTTGCTGATTTAGTNCCAACCCTCCCTCGTTTCTCCCTATTTCTTCCTCGGAAGTACTTATAATTATGTGGTGGCTATCGGGTAACCGTCTCGGATTCATCACGAAGTCGAGTTGTTGAGTGGAAGTTTTGGTTGGGTGTGTTTGGCAACATTGGATATTGATTCCATACGTGGACAAAAACAAAAAAAAACAAAATTAGTTTAAATGGTACTTTGCCGACAACTTTCTTAAATAACAAAAAAATTTAACAAGCTTTCTAACTGCTTATTTTTCAATTGGCTCAAGAGCTACTTTTAAAGATTTGACTTTTATTGTAATTTCATGCAAATGTACGCGTTAATATTTTTTATTTTAATAATATGTCGAAATTTCTTTGTTGCAGGTGACCAGAGTACAATGGACGAATACTTGAAATCAATTCTCTCTGGTGGATGAACTAACCCGTAAGTCATGTAAATCCTTTTTTCGCACAAAATAGAGACCTATGCATTAAGTCAATCATTTGCTCGTGCGGTTTTTGTCTAAGTAAAACATGACCAACCGTAAATGCCAAAAACGCGTCGGAACGAATTGGATTTCACGTTGAACGAATAAATGAATTCGCTTTCCACGCGCATGAAAAGTTAATAAAAAGCCTCGGAAAGAGAAAACAATATTTCAGAATCGCGCCCCAATAGCACTGGGCCTCGCGACAAACGCTTTTGCTTCACTGCGCGACATAGTATTTAAAAAGCAAAAAAAAAATGTATTCAGTTCTCGATACGCCGACGTGTCCTCGTTGACGATTACAACCCCCGCGATTAGCATCCACCGACAGGCGAGTTTCCGCGTCCACAGCACGAAACGCCGAGGGGCAGGGCCGAAGCTTCAATAATGTAAGAGCAATCGCATTTCATTCGCCCCGAAACGTATAGACCGACGTCACCTGCATTTGCGCACACACACACACCGTATGCATAATCCAGGCGCCGCCCTCTTCTCTTTCCTCGTGAATATTTCACGAGTCCCACCTTTCGCCGAAACGAATAAACAACCGCAACGGCATCCCTGTTTTTCCTGGTTTTCCCGCCACGTGTATATATATAATATGCACGCGCGTGGGCTTTGCAGGAATTTTCCTCAGAACTCTAAAATTTCCCCGTTTTTTTTTTTTTTCTTCCTTCTTTTCTCTTCGTCGAATTTAACAAAATACAGAATTAATGTAAAAATTGTAATAATTACTAGAGTAAAAATAATTTTATTAAATTGTATACTCGCGACACGTGCCAACCAACAGCCTCACATACTGGACTGAAAGGCTGGTGGCTCTAGTCCAGGGGCAGTTTTTATCTTTACGTTCAACACTTTTTTATCCGAGCGAAAAAAAATAAAAATTACGTCCATAATGGATTTCTCGTATGCTCTTCATTTGATCCGAAACAACAAAAAAATCACCAATTTGTGCAAACTTTGAAAAATATACGGTCCAACAATGGGTAGTTGCACATACGTCGTATTCGTGTCGAGTGCGGTAGACACACCATTAACAGTAATTTCATGAATTGCATAGGGCTGAAAGGAAACGTGATTAATTTTAATTGTTGTCCATTCCTCGTAGCAACTAACTTTAATACGCATACTGCATTAAATTCCGACTAATGCATGAGTTAAAATGTAGCCACTTAGCCTCCAAATATGACAAAATTGTTGTCAGCGGCTAAAGCGCTCCTTTGTCTTATTTAATATTCGTATGGCCGTCAATTGTCATAACTTTAACAATTATTATTATTATTATTATTACCCAAACAACGTATCAAAAAAATTACTCTCGCGATAGTTTGATTACAGATGCAATCAACTCGAGGTTACTCGAGAAAAACATTTTTTTGTTTTTTTTTTGCTGTTGGTCAAGTGCACCATTACGCGGAAGTCACTGTTAGAGGCACTCGCGCGTACACGTGCCAATACACTTTTCAAGCATCATTCGATGAAACCAAGCAAAGAAGAAAAAAAAAAAAAAAAAAAAAGCCCGGCAGCCTACGTGTACATGGGTATACGGTATGTATTTTAGGTGGCAAGTCTCGAGAGCACTGCAATCGATAACCAATAACGAGCACACCCACAAGCGTCCTTCTCCGGCACTTTGTCATTATCAACGCTCGCGTCCAAACCCCAGCACTCGAGAAATAATAATTTCGGCCCAGTGGTTAATACAGTTTGGCTCGGGACGCCACCACCGTAGTCGCCGGCATCGCTAATTGTCGCGGAGTTTAATTGCTGCGACAATGGGACGCGCGAGAGTCGGACACGCACAAGAGCACGTAACTGCGTACATTGTGTATAGGTATGCGCGTAAAGGCTCGAGGAGACTCGTGTATTATTGAGCGGGGGATTGAAAAGCCGCGGCGGGAGGATGAGCGTATTATGGGTTTTGGGGTAGCCGAAGTGCCCGGCTTTTTCTTTTCCGTAAGAGTCGATTTGCCGGGCTTGGTCGTTAGATTGGATTTTCCTTACATTGTGACTTTTTTGGCCCTTTGGCGTAGAGAAACGCTGCTGGGTCTGTTTTGGATGTTGGTACGTGTTTTCCGTCGTATTATTGAGGCAATGAACGATATCGAACAATTACATTTTCATCGGGATTTTAACTGCAGAGTTTTTGATGAAATACAAAGGAAAAGCGGTATGATATTGCATCGCTTACAAAAATAAAAACTTTCGGTACAGAAAAAAAATAAAAAAATAAGTCAATCAGTACACGTATTTCCTCGATTCCATTTCCTATTTTCGGTTGCTTTCGCGTTTTACTATTGCAATATGAAATGGAAAAAAAAAACTTTGAGATTGCACTTGCATCGTTTCCTGCAGTAATTATTTCAAGGAAGCACGTTTTTATTGTTAGAGTTGGAGTTACAGCACTGATTGCTTCAAAGTTTAGTACACAATGACCGGTATACTGTGTGTAAACAGACTTTGAGAAAAACTTTGGTTCAACTTGGAATTTAATGCTACCGGACGGCCAAACATCCCGAGGATTCAGAGTTAAAACTTTGTTGATCAATACAAAACTCTTTGATTCTCGAATTATATATTACCTCAGGGAGGTTCCCTCCTTGATGAAGCGATTTTTACCGTAGAAAAAAAAAATTACTTTCAAGTATAGGTGCACCAACATGGAAGTACTTTTCAACGCGAGTTGAAAATATTATGGCGCAAGTACGTAATGTATACCCGCCAATGCCCAATCTTCCCTCAACTATCGATTCGCATTTCGATCACGTATCTCATTCGAGCACCGCTTTTTCAATCTTGCTGTTGAAAAAAAAAAAAAAAAAAAAAAAAAAAAAAAAACCCGTAAGATGTTTTTTAGAGATTCCCTTTTTGGATAAAGTCGACGAGATGTAAGGCTGGGATTGTGATTCACACGCCAGTCCCGCGAGAGGCGTCGGCAATTTTTCAGTCGCTCGGCGATTCGCAAGGACATTATCGGCCGCGTCAGGCACACCAGCTATTGGCACGATCAGTCGGGTTTGCCAAATTGGGTTTGTGTCGGTGTCCGTGGGAAAAGGAACGAGGGGATAAAGGGGAGCTCCGATGCGCCCTCCGATGCGTGCAAACACGGAAAATACTCTCACCACAATTGTATTTCGTCGCCCAACTGGTATATATATATATATATATATATATGTATTTACTGCGTCTCGATTGCGTTAGTTTTTATTTCGTTTTATTACCATTATTGTGTCCTTGTAAAATATTAATGCACATGGGTAAGAGGAAAATGCGTAAATGACATAAATACCACTAGATTTTTATTTCAGAAAGTACTTATTGTACAGCATATACAGTTTTTCATTTGCAACGAGGTATCCTCGTGTACCCACCTCGAATTTATGCTCCGCAGAGCAAACACGTCTAATCCACCGTAACACTGACCAATATAATAATGTTTGACGAGCAAGTTGTGACTTGGTGCAGTCACCTAGTCGAGACAAATTCCTCCGTAAACTCGTCAACGTCGAAAACTTTATGCAGCCGGCGAGTTGGCGCGAGGCCAACGCTCGTGGCGTCGAATTTAACAAAATACAGCCGCTCGAGCAAAAATATACGGAAGCTACTGAAAAAAAAAAAAGAAAGAAATTTCGCTTGTCAACGCGCTGTAATATATCATTAGACCGCGTGAAACATTAATTTTTCACCATCGCTGTATCCTCAGTTACGCAACAAACGAACTTTGCGGCTCGACGCGACCGCGGTTACTCTCGTGTTAAATTACGAGAGCATCGATAGTCTACCAAAGCTCACTTTGACAACTTTGCGAGTATATACCAAGAAGGGGATGAAATAACGATACGGTTGGCCCCTCCATTAGTTTCATAACTTTGGTATATGTACACGGCGTATGCTCGCGGTTGGAAGATCCGAATCCAAAGCAGCAAGTAGACCCTCTGGTATGATGCTAACGACGATCCCTCACCGCGAATCTTCGTCCACCACACACCCCAAACTTCATACCGAATATAAGAAACTGTCTCCTATTTGTATCATTGTTATTCAATTTTGTGCTCAATTGCCCAGTTATGAGGTGGTTCGGTCGACGGAGCAAATCACTGGATTGGCAAAAAGTATAGGTGTGGGCGCTGCTGGATGCCAATATGGGTCCAACCGAAGCCACGCCGGTGTTTTTGCTCTATATACATCGGGACAATAGACCGGGGGTAAAAGCTTGCATGTTTACTTGCTCTCGCCCCGAGCCAGTTTGGGTGCACAGGTTACCTCAAAGCTCCGCGAGAGGAGGCACACGGAAAGCTCGAAACTCGAGAGTCGGTCGCTCGTAACTCAACGTGACGTTCGACCTGACCGCCATTTCATCTCGTCCCTTCTCTTGGGCTAAAATGCAAGGGGAGCTCTCCTACGTACGGATGCCGAAGTTCCCCGATACGCTACGCGGCCGCAAAACTCGCTGACCGTGACACGCGCCAGCTACTCCCCACCCTTGCGTTTTCCTCGAGCTTTTTGGTGGTTTCTATTGTTATTTACGTCCTTGTCATAAGTGCTTCGACTCCCGTGCCGGGGGCTGGCCAAGGGAAGAGCTGTTTTGACCTTCGGCGCAAAAAGAAAAGAGATACGTCCATCCATGTTTTGGTTTACAAAGCAGAGGCTTCATAAATAATGGAGTGTATATCATATACCCGGCTCTGATGGTAAACAAAAAAATACATGTGACCCTATGAGCGTCGACTCATCCTGGCATTTTTATTATTATTATTATTATTATTATTATTGTTATTGTTTTGAGGTTTTATTCCATATATAGGGCATCGAGAAACACTGTGACTATACCCACGTCGCAAAGTGCATCTCGGAGTCGAGAGGCAACGAATGAAATTTTGAAGGGCTAGCTTTCAATTCCATCAGTGGGTTTTTCTTTTTCCTTTTTTTTTTC